ACTTTTTATATTCACCATTTGTCTCATCAATGAGTCACATTAAATTCAGCTTTCATTGTACTGGATTAAAAGAAAATGCTTTTTCTTTTTCAATCCGATTGAAAACAAGTATTCATAGAAGTTTATACTATATGCCTTGAATATAAAATTAATCCCAAAAGTATATCGTTTACTCTAATACAAATTAGATATTTCTTCAACATTTTGATTCATATCATATATAATAAAATAAACACTAGATTCATATATTTAGTCCATTTCGATTATATAAAATAGTAGTCTCTTGATCGAATTCTAGATGTTACTCAAACAATTCAGTAGTCAATGAAATCATTCAACAAAACAGATCATGTTTTATGATTCCAGGATCAAGTTAGCATAAAAGTAAATATAATTAGAAAATAGATTTTTACTCTGTATGATTGAATTATTTCGAATCATAGAATAATAAAATTGATTCTTACTCTTAAAATAATACAATCCCATCACATTAAAAGTAGTAGGTAGTATCTGAAATGATTAAATAGAAAGTTATTGAACTCCTATATTGAATGACATAAATTTTAAAGTAATATAAGTTATCTAAATATATTAAATTTGTTTTGCTCCAGGCGTCTAACCAACTAGATCACTGAGCCAGCATCAAATAGTGTTAGTGTCTAACTTCAACCGATCCATGAAGTTGCGCCACCGTACACCATTGTCTTCAGTCAGCTGATATCTCACAACAGACCTGGTTGAACTCCATTGGTAACGGCTTCTCACTAGAACTCTAGGAGTATCTCTTGAAGCCAGTCACTAGTTAGCAGATGATTATTATCAGAAGGAGTTTGTGGTAATTGTTTTCACTGAAAAAGTAATACATCTGTAAATAGTTTTTTTTACGAAATTAATTACATAATCGATGGGATATTATGACATATGTGAAATAATACACAAATATCGTTAGTAACCTTTCAAATAAAAGATTTGAAAAAAGAACGATTTTGAATTTCCCATCCCCAAATTGATTATGATTCTCGATTATCAATAAATCTGTCCATATGGTACTTCGTGTTTTATAAAAACCAGAAAAATTTTTTTTCATAAACAAATAAAAATGATCATAAACGATGAATGTAACTATAAAATTTTATAGAGGCCTATTGTAGTAACTTATAAACTATACACATCTAAATCAATTATAAATTTGATGACCTTAATAGATAGAAGAAGGGACAAAACGTCAGTTTATTGTATTGACCATACAATTCATTTTATTTAATTTTATAGGGAACAGAATGTAAACCAAGCTTAAGGTAATCACTTTCTACACTATGTGTATATAATAACAATTGCTTGAACGAAATATAATTTAAAAGTAGTTTGTATTAATCATATTGTCCAATTTAATTTAATTTTCTTAACAACAACAACAACAACAAAAAGAGACTAACTCTTACTTTGAAGATCGAAGTAATTCACCTTAAACAATTATCCTTCATGAATACATTTTTTCTTAGAGCTATAGATTGATATTGATTAGAAACAACAACTAGATAAATTCATTATTTATTAACCATTAATTAATGTTATAATTCTACAATATATTCAATGATAAAACTGAAATGTCCCTTAAAAAAACAAACTGTTATATCGTGCAAGTATCTGAAATAATTATAATAATAGTCTTTTTTAAAACAAATCGATCAAACTAACTGAGAACAGTTTGCTGTAGTCAAAGATTTTGATACAATTTTTTTTTCAGCTGATGAACTAAAGTTCATATACTATATAGATGGATGATTTGTCTTATTTTAAGATTTCTCATTACGGATGATGGATTCAATTCAAACATTGTACTCTAATCTAGTAGTCTATAATTTTAACGTGAATCAGTTTGTTAAAAGTAGTTATTCTTATTTAATGACATTGATGAGTTCTTATTTCGCTGTCGAATTGATTGACTTTACAGGTAATAATGTTTCATTAAAACTACGGAAAATAATTTCCACAGGTGGTTTTATAAAAAAAATTATTGTTTATTAAGAAGTTAGGTAATCTTGTGAATATTGAGTATAGCTTAAATATCCATTTTCATCGAAAAACTCCTATAACTGGTTCTTAAGACTTTCCTGGATGATTTTAATAAAAAAAAACTGGATCCAAATTTAAGTTAGGAGATTATTATTACATAAAATTAATATATTAAATATAGGACAATTCATAGACATACATTTCTATGATTTTCGTCCTGAGTAACGAACTAGTCTTCGTTCTTAAAAACTAATGTGTTTATTTTCACAACTGTGCCTAAAGGGAATTTCAAAGTTGTACACTCAACCTTTGGAAATACACAATTAACGTCTGTCTGATCTTAAAACTGAATCATGAAACGTCACTTTGTGGTTAAAACTGACTTGAAATTGAGTGTCCCTGAAATCATCTACCTGATTTACAATTGTTTGAAGAAGCACTGATATATACTTTCTGAGTAGAATTTATTTGTTAAACTTCTGCTCAAGAATCTACGATAACATGCCTAAGATTTCAGGTATTGTCTTATTTCTAAGTCGTAGACGAATATTCCGCATACCGATTAATAATAATTTCGCTTTATCAAATTACGTTAAATCATCGTATAAGCAATGACTAGTCTTTTCTTAAGTAAATAAAAGTTTCTCTAAGTAATGTTAATTCGATGTATAAACATTTTCAACTACATATCGTTATCAAATAATCCACAACCTTATTAAATCATGAGGTGAATACATATTAATAATACATTCTTCACTTTCTATAAAAAGTTTAATCTGCCTACGGTAAAAATAACTGGCAACGTTAGTGGATTATTACTAACCATACCTGTTAGTCACAATGATTTTGTTATTAACACATACTGTTTACGAACTATATATGTATATGTATGCATATATGTTAATCAACTACAAAGTGTAAAAGTATCTTATTTTGTATAATGAGTTTTTCTTCATGTCTTGTCTCTATAGCAAATAGATTTTTAAAAACAGATCATTTGAAACTACCAAAATTAATGCGTTCAACATTTAAAAATAAACGATTTACTTTTAATGTTTGATTTGATTAAAAGTTACTTATGGAAACAATGTTTTTGTCAAAATCAATTTATCATATATTATCGTGATTATTATTGAGAAAAACAGTGGAATATATATATGTATATTGTTCACAAAAAAGGAAACAGAATTATGTTGAATAAAGTAGAGAATTCAGTAGTATGTATGTTATAACTTGTGGCCTCAATACCCTACTAATGTATGACGTTATGATACCGCCAATTAGAGAGCAGTAAATTGTCGATCGGATCAATGACGCATAAAACCAGTGCGAGCAGTCTAAAGTACTTATCGGTCATGCTTCCTGCCTAGCCCAGCCAGTTAAGTCCAGAACACTGATCTCAGCCTATGCAATATGAATCATTTATTTCAAGCATACTGGGTTCATATAACAACCAGATAGACCACATCGTACCACAAAATAGGAAACAACATTTGTACAAGAATTAGCCAAATGTGGCTGTGAAGGTGGGACGTAGTGATTAATAGACAGGGCATAATTCAAGAATGGTAAATCGTATAATAATAACTCATGGGTCAAAATAAAGCTTATAATAAGATGGTCGTGAATATGAACAGTTTAGTTATTTAACAATTATGCGATAAAAATGTACGCATAGTATTGGTCCATAAATGGATCCCAAAAGTTACCATTCATTATGCTTATCGGGACATAACAATATATTAGTAAAAAGTTCTACTAATCAAACAGCATGGACCAGTTAGAAAAAAAGATAATTTTTTTAAAATCTAAATACACGCAACAATGCACTCCTGGTTAATTCTGTCTATCAGAATTATTTTCAAATTAACCAACAATCTTCCAGATCTAATAGACCATATATCATATTAGTCACTGCTAAATATACAAATGACCTGATAAAACCAGGTGTAGTTGAAATATTTGAGTAAAGGTTGACCACTTACAAATAGTTTGAACCAGCTACTGTACACAAAATAGATGACAGTATTTTTGTTTACGTTACATATAAAAAATCCCTTCAGAATGATACAAATTATTGATGCATAACAAAACTTATGAGATTTTATTACGAATCTTTCATTCAGGTGTGAATTGTTATGGAATAATACTCTCTTGAACTGTTCCAATTGTTACTTCGCCAGGTGAATCTAACATTTACCTAAAACTGTTGCCTGGTGTTGAGATTCGTTTATGAAATAAATTTTACCAGTCAATAACATCACAAATCTGTTATTTGTATGCACTGGCTGGTAAAAGAAATATACATTAATTTCGTGATAGGACTACTTAGGATTAAAGCAAACACTTTATTCTCCTAACTACGTCATTTACTTAAAACTAAGAAATTTCATCAAGGTCGTCAAAGATTTGTTTGTTTTGACAATATATAGAAACATTTATCTATTAAAATTAATCAGCTGCTGAACAATGAAACCATATTATCAGATAACTAAACTATCAAAGTTACGAGAACAGTTTCGTGCCATTTCAACCTAACTCTATTCTACAGTGCTAGCCGTAAGATATAAAAATTGTTGCTGAAAACTGTGTTGGTGTCTCAAAAACAAAGAACTATCAGTTATGGAGTGGTGCTATTGAATCAGTTTGTTTTTCAATTGATACAAATTCCTCATAAAATCTAACTCACAATTCAAATATAACAACCTAATTTGAAATAGTTCATATTATACATATTTTACAGTAAATAACAATGTAAAATATATAATATGAATCGTTTTATAATTAACCAGTAGGTCCTGGGTTCCAGTCTCGCAAGGCGAGGTCGTGGATGTGCACTGCTGAAGAGTCCCATCCAGTGCTTCCAGGTTCTCCATGGTGGTCTAGCTTCAACTGACTCATGAGCTTAACCATTGGAATTACTATAATATCCACAAAACCCATTTGATATTGATAGTTTTAATTAATTATTTTTCTTTTTATAGGTAATCATTCAGTATTACGATCAGTATTTTGTAATAATAAAAACTTCCCAACTAACTTCAACTTACATACAATTACGGAGGGAAAATCAATAGGACAATATCGAATTACACGTAAAGTAGTAGAAGCATCAGTGAAATTCGTAACTAATTCATTAGGTAAAGAAATACTTCATATTCTTGTGACAGGTTAGTTGGATGACATTTTTAATGAATTATAATTTATTATGAGTTAAAAGAAAATTCATTATATATATATATATATATATATATATATATATATATATTAGTAAACGAATGTAGGTCTTCAGCACTTATCTTCTATTTGTGACCTCAGTTTATACATATATATATGAGATTTTACACCTTGACAATCTTATTTTTTATTAGAAAAACAGAGAACATTGTAGAAATTATTTTTTAACGGTGAGACAATAATTCATGGACGAGCTTTGAGCGACGCTAAAGGAACCTTCAGAATGTCCACCTAATAACTACGACCAAAAGGGGGTTATAAACCAGTGTAAGGAAATATAATTATGATTTACAGTTGATGGTTAGGGTTAAGAATTACATTTAAAGTTTACATCAAGAAATGACATCAGCTATGATACCAAAACTCTAATTAGCCAAATGGATGAGTGAATTTCTCGCCAAACTCCGAGACCTGTTATCTTATACCTGATTGCTCCGTAGATAAATTATAGTCTCACCTTGTTAATTTATTGTTAACACATATAACAGTATGAAATATATGTAGAATGATTATTTTAAGTTTAAATTTGTTTTTTTAAGTACCATGCTGAACAATCCGCCGTAATACTATTGATTACCATCTTTCCTGAAAACTGTTTACTGAACATATGATAACTTACTTACACCTGTTACTCCTCGTGGAGGAGCAAAGGCCACCCACCAGTAGCGAATACATGATAAGTGAATGCAATTTTACTAATAAACATTAACACAAATTAATACTTCATTCGATAGATAATTAATGATAATTTTACATTATTCCATTGTCAAAACTCATCATACACAATGTCGATGTATAACTAAATACAGATGGAGTAAAGTTTTAAAAGATAGAAATGTTTGTTAAACAGATAGTTTAATTGTTCAAACTAACCAAACCTAAATGTTTCAATGCTTTAGAGAGTTCAAAAAGTATTTGGCTACATTTTTTATTAATGGTACTTACAATTAACTTAGTGTATAACAATGATTGTGAAGTACAATTTAATTAAAATAACCTTACAACCTTAATAAAATTGAAAATAAACTTACTCACTTACTTATTTACACCTGTTACTTCTCGTGAAGGAGCATAGGCCGCTCACCGCCACTCTCCATCCAACCCTGTTCTGGGTAATCCTTTCCAGCTCCCACCAATTCCAATTCATCCTTTTCATATCTGCTTCTATTTCTCGAAATAAAATGTTCTTTGGCCTTCCTCTTTTCCGCTTCCGTTCAGGATTCCAAGTTAGAGCTTGTCTCGTGATGCAGTTTGATGATTTGCGTAGTGTGTGTCCTATTCACTTCCATCGTCTTTTCCTAATTTCCTTTTCAGCTGGAAGCTGGTTTGTTCTCTCCCAGAGAAGACTATTGCTGATGGTATCCGGCCAATGGATGTTGAGTATCTTGCGTACATAACTATTTATATATACTTGTACCTTCTTGATGGTAATTGTCGTAGTTATCCAAGTTCTCTAAGACCGCCTTGACACTGGTGTTGGAGATTCTCACTTTGATATTGGCTGACAGTTGTTTTGAGTTCCATATGTTTTTCAACTGTAGGAATGGGGCCCTTGTTTTGCCAATCCTCGCCCTTAAGTCTGCATCTGAACCTCCTTGTTCATCGATGATGCTTCCTAGGTATGTGAAGGACTCTAAATCTTCCAGAGTTTCGCCATCAAGAGTGATTATATTGCTGTTCTCCACCTTGAATTTGAGGACCTTGGTTTTCCCTTTGTGTATGTTGAGGCCTACTGATGCAGAGACTGCTGCTACACTGGCTGTCTTTGTCTGCATTTGTTCGTGTGTATGCGATAGAAGAGCTAGGTCATCTGCGAAGCCCAAATTGTCTAATTGGTTCTGATCTGTCCATTGTATTCCGTGTTTTCCCTCAGATGTCGAGGTTTTCATAATCCAGTCGACCACCAGAAGAAAGAAGAAGGGAGAGAGTAAACAGCCTTGTCTGACTCCGGTCCTTACTTGGAATCCATCTGTCAGCTGAAAATAAACTGGTGAATATTAAAAACGAAGAAACAAATATTATCGCAAATTATCAGCAAATTCTTCAGCTGAGATTCTACAAATACATTTTTCCTCTTCAGTGTCTCACACTAACTCGGCGGCCATATACTGTGAAACTATTTGATGAAATTTAGACGAAAGTTCCTATTTATTATAAGCAAATGTGGATTTACACCTATAAAACTGAAAAATTTTAAAATAAATTTTTTGAAAATAAACCAAAAAAAAGGAAACGTATTTCATCCTCCGCCCCTCAACGTTTGAAATGGATAATTTTTTTACCGAGTATTAACAGATTTATACGTGATAAAAGTATAATAAAAATTAGTTTCGGACACAACTGTTTGCAGTGTGCGTCATCAAAAAGTCGTTAATTAAAACAGAAATTCAACATATTCCATTTGTCCTACTCAGTAACATTTTTTTAATATTTTTGTATATGTGAATGTAGATACACAATATAAACGATAAATAAAATTCGTTCAAACTTTAATTGAGTAAAAGGTTAATTAGAATGAAACTAAAGTTTTCAATCTTTCCAAAGTAATATATAATATAATTCACTATAACAGTTATAGTCATCAATGCTCTAGCTACTAATCTCGTGTATTATTAGTATAGTAAGTAGACGTTGGTTATACTACATAGCGTCATTCATTGACGATCCTATAATTTTCATAATATTTTTATTGTTTTACCACATTATTATTATTATTATTATTACTTTCATTGTTCATCTTTCTTCATTACCCAGCTTCTATTTATGTCTCTTATCAGGCTGTGAATTTTTTAAAAGGATAAATTACCGTCTTATGTCACACTATTTATTTAATACTACTTATGATTCACAACTGTTAGTAGCTGGAACAGAATAAACTTCTTCTTCAAACCTTAATTTAATTGACTTATTTGAAAACAAAAGTTTTCTGTAACACTCTTTAAAGTAACAGAATAAAATCAGACCGGTACATCGTAAATTATCAATATCATTTTATAGACTGTTTAATATTCCTTCGATTAGGGGGAATCATTCAGCGATAAAAAATTATAGATGGCTGTTTATATAGATTTAACAATTAACTAGCGTGTTTATAAAACAAATCTCTTTAACATGAAATCAAGATAGTTATGTGTCAGAAGGGTTTTGGGGGATTTTGGTAATTTTAATAGCTGAAATCATGACCAATTGAAGCTAGACAATCATAGAAAACTTGGAAGCACTGGAAGGCCGTTTCGTCCTATTGTGGGACTCGCCGGCAGTGCGCATCCACGACCTCGCCTTGCGAGCTTTGAACCCAGGACCTATCGGTCTCGCGCGCAGGCGCTTAACCGCTAGACCACTGAGCTGGCAGGCATCCAACGGTGTTAATGTCCGAATCTCGCAAGGGGCGGGATCGTAGGTACCCACTGCTGCGTAGTCCCATACTAGGACGAAACGGCCGTCCAGTGCTTCCAGGTTTTCCATGGTAATCTAGCTTCTATCGGCTCATGATTCCAACTATTGAAATTAGTCATGTGTTTTAAAGACCTATTTGATTAATTTTGCTTAATTATTTAAATATTTACAGTTATGATTTGTGAGTTTGTCTAACTATGGCAATGATTTCATTATGAAATTTACAAGCGATATATTATAACTTAAAGGTTTTTTAAAATTTCATCCAACGAGCATTGTATTCACACGTTAATTTTTCACAGCAGGAACACATTATCATGATAACATTAATATACAAAGTTGAAATTTTAATAAATAACTATTAGATTTTGTCAGATTAACAATATGTAAAGTCTTGTTAGTTTAGAAACTAAGCGGAAATCATGTAATTTAAAAATTTAGTATCCCTAATAAAAGTATTGTGAAAAGATAAATAAAGTATTCAAATTTTCGGAACAGAATAAGCTATAAACTATTTTCTTATTGTCTGAAAATGGAGAATGTAAACGAATACATAACATGGAAATAATCTTTATAGTCCACCTAAATTACTGTATAGATAACTACAAACTGTTTTTTTTCATCGATCAATAGCAGTTCGACTAAAAACAACCACAAATCACAAATCCTTACTACACTGCCTTCATAAATATTCCCTGTGTTTATGATCTTATATAAAGATAATCCCTCTCCCTTAAAGAGAACTTTTCTAGAGTATTAAATATTTGATTTGTTAGCAGGCAATTATAATTTCATAGGATGCATATCATAGAAGAAAATCTTGTGAAAAGACACTTCATAATATTTTTTTCATTCATGTTTTACAATCTACTCTTCATAAATTTCGATAAGAATCATTTCTACTAACTGCTTATCGTTTTATAATCAAATGATGTTTGATATACAATAATTAACTGAATAATTACGAGATATAAATCTCATGTTTTATGCCTAACAGCGCACAAAACTGAATCAGATCACCAACTACGTAAGCTTTGCTAACTTAAAAAAAACTAATGCATTTTGCGATCAGAAGTATTTAGCTTCAGTAAAATCACTTTGCCGAATTGTAGTGTTTTATAATAATCATCAGTTTGTTGAGAATTACGATGGCATGGTGTCAGGAGCATTAATCGTTTAACAGTTTATAGAATTAAATCAATTGAAAAGTTGCAAAAGAATAACAGATGTATAGTTGGTCATAAAAACTTCTGCTAGGCACTACTGCACATTTATATGATGATGCTTTGTAAAACAATTGCAATATATGAGACACTGATGAGAAAATGTAAAATATATGGTAGTCTTGAACGTAAATCATGATAAAATGCTAATTATATATATCATTTCTATTGAACAACTACTGACCATCGTAAATCAACCGCCTGGAATATAACATTCTGGGTATGAAAAGGTGAATTCTGAATTCCGCTAACAAAAATAACATTGAGAGCCTGATCAGCAGAAAATTCTTAAATAAACGAAAAACATTCATTTG